AATCCTATGAGAATAAGATTCACTCATTCCCTCTTACCTTCCCCCATTTCCTCTCCACTGTAAGAGCCCTTTCTTTTCTGTTTTATTTTTGTGAGATAATTTACCCCATTCTACCTCTCCCTTTCTTCTTCTCTCAGTATAATCCTCCCTCATCCCTTAATTTTATTCTCCAGATAAGACCCCTTAATCTTCAATTCACCCTGTGGCTCTATCTATCTATCTATCTATCTATATACATACATATAATTTTTTCCCTCCAACTACCCTAATACTGACAAAGGTCTCATGAGTTATAAATATTATCTTTCCATGCAGGAATGCAAACAGTTCAATCTTAATAAGTCTCTTATGATTTCTCTTTCCTGTTTGCCTCTTCATGTTCCACTTGAGTCCTCTATCTGAAAGTCAAATTTTCTATTCAGCTCTGGTCTTTTCATCAGGAATGCTTGAAAGTCCTCTATTTCACTGAATGACCATTGGTTTCCCTTCTATTAAAGTAGCTTTTTGTGCCTCTTTCATGTGGGATAATTTACCCCGTTCATTCCCCTCCTTTTACTTCCAGTGCAATTTCCTTCTCACCCCTTTATTTTAGCTTGTTTTGGTATCATCCCATCAAAATCACCTTATATCCACACCGTCTGTCTGCAAACACTCCTTATAATTGCTCTTGTGGTAATGAAGTTGCTGAGTTACAAATATTATCTTGCCATATAGAAATATAAACAGTTTAAGCTTATCAAATTTCTTATGTTTTCTCTTTCTCACTTCTCTTTTACCCTTTTATGTTTCCTTTGAGTCTTGTATTTAGAGGTGATTTATTTTATTCAGCTCCAGTGTTTTAATTAGAAATGTTTGAAATTCCTCTAGTTCCTTAAAATGTCCATCCACCCCACTCCCCCCAAAACTCAGTTTTTCTGGGTAGGTGATTCTTAGTTGTAATCCTAACTCCTTTGCCTCCTGGGAGTTTTCATTTGGATCCCTTTCAGGCCTGATAGGTGGATTTCTTCAATTTCTATTTTTTCCTCTGGTTCTAATATATCAGAGCAGTTTTCTTTGATAATTTCTTGAAAGATGTCCAGGATTTTTTTTTGTGTGATCATGGCTTTCAGGCAGTCCAATAATTGTTATATTATCTCTCCTGGATCTATTTTCTGGGTCAGTTTTTTTTCCCCCAATCAGACATTTCACATTTTTTCTTTTTTTAAACTTTTTTTAAAACTTTGTTTTATCATATCTTGATGTCTCACAGAGTCATTACTTTCCACTTGTTCAATTCTAATTTTTAAGGAATTATTTTCTTCAATGTGCTTTTGTAATTCTTTTTCCATTTGGCCAATTCTATTTTTAGGAAGATATTTTCCTCAGTAAATTTGTGTATATCTTTCTCCATGCTATTGACTCTTTTTTCATGATTTTCTTGCATTACTTTCAGTTCTTTTCCAAATTTTTCTTCTACTTCTCTAATTTGCTTTTTAAAATCCTTTTAAAGCCCCTCCTGGAATATTTTTTGAGCCTGAGACCATATTACATTTTTCTTTCAAGTTTCACATGTAGCCATTTTGACAGAATTGTCCTCCTCTAAGTTTATGCCTTGATCCTCCTAATCACCATAACTTTCTATAGTCAAGCTTTTTTTTCCCCTCATTTTTCCTGCCTTTTTTTGTGACTTGGTGTTTTTATATGAGAATTGGACTCTGGTCCTGCACTGTCCCAAGCTTTTTGTGCTGGGGCTCTGGATCTTACTGCTGGTTTTGACTGGGTTTCAGGGCTTAACTGCTTGCTTTCTCTGGAGGGTAGGCTACCCTTCTGGCTTGTACTGGGGAGGGGGAGCCTCCCTGTTGTTCTCCCCTGGTTGTGGGGTTTAGCTGCTGGTCTGCTCTAGGGGTAGCACCTTGCTGGTGGATTGCTATGGTAGCAGAGTCTGTCTGGTGGCTGGCCCTGGAGGAGAGAACTTGTGGCTGGTCTACCCCAGGGGTGGGGCCATGCTGCTGAGTTGCTGTGGAAACAGGGTCTCTGCTGGTAGGCCCCCGGGGCAGGGTCTCACTGTTGGCCAATCCTGAGTAGGGTCTTCTAGTGGTCAGCAGTGGGTCAAGGCCTTACCAGTGGCTTGTGCTGGGGATGGGTGGGACCTTGCTGAGCTGTACAGACTGCTCGTTTGCCTGGGGGGCTGCTAGTTTGCAGAAGGGTGGGACATCACTAGTGGAATGTCCCAGGCTGCTGCAGGCCCCCTGATGTGAGGCTTGCGGGCTGCAGCTGCTGCTGCTGCTGCTGCTCTGGGACCTTGCTCCCTTCCTACTCCAGTAAGACAGACCTTTCTTGCTGGGCTGGTAAACTGCTTCCCTGCTTCTAGATCAATCCTGAGGCAGCTTTCTGGTTGTTTGTAGGGGGATTGGGGAAGGCTTCAGAGTTCCTTCATCACTCCCCCATCTTGGCACCAGAAGAAGCAATGGGGCTTCTGGGTCACCCACTGTTGTCTGTCCGACAAAGAGCCCATTCTTTGTTGCTACTTGAAGCCACTGGAGAAGCTTGGTAGACTTCATTAGGAGTTACTCACTTTGTTCAGAGGCCCAAATGGGGGCCACAATTGAATTCAATTGAAATTAGAGAAATTAAAACAAAAAGTTTCTTCTGTTGATTAAATTTCCTTTTGTGTGGTAATTATATCCAGCCTTTCCTTTAAACTGTGAAATACAAAAAATGAAGACAAAACAATGAAACAACCATTGTGCTCATCATGAAAAAGTTTGCTTTTGGGTTTTTTTTTTTGGTTACATTAGAAAAACATGTTTACTGTGAGCATTTGGTTTTTACAACTATCTCATCTTTTAGGCCATTGTTGGAGGGTAGACCTTTTTAGAAAATGCAGAACTTTGAACTACCAACATATCAATAGCTTTATCTCATGTCCCCTTTGTAGTTACCTCTCCTGCCCCAGAAGGTAGGCATGTAGGTATGACCTACCCCCATTTTACAGATAGGGAAAACTGAGTCCCAAGAAGATGAAGGAAGTAGATTCTGGTCAAATGCGTATTATGCGTCAGAGGCAGAATTCCAGCTAAGTCTCCCCAGAATTCAGGGTCACTGTTCTTTCCTCTCTACTGTAGCCCCTTTCTACTGAAGCCTGAAGAGATACCTCTTCTCCCAGTCCTTCTGTATTTTAACTGAATGATGCTGAGTACCCTCCATGCCTTAGGTAGAGTATAATGAAAATAACGTCTTGGACTTGGCCAAGGGTTTGAACCTAATTTCTTCCCTTTACAAACTGTTTAACCTTAGGGCCATCTCAGAATCTCTTGATATTCTGTAATTAGTTATGGGCTCTAAGTCCTTCTCTCTCTCCATGTGCCTTTTATACTTATATTAGGTCACTGGCATCATGTTAATTAGCATTTGTTGATTTCTTCCTTTCCAAGAACTTTTAGGGATAATAATAAAAATGAGTGATCCATTGAATTGGCACAAAGTTATTACATATCACCATCTTCCTTTGGCTGGATTTCTTGAATGAACACAAAGTTGCAGCCTCAAAAAATCCTAGAGTCTCAGAGTTGGAAGGAACATGCTCCAGTGGAAAGAGGGGCCAAGTTCAAATCCAAGTTTTGTCACATACTACCTAGCTGATCATGAATAAGTCCTGTAAACTCTCTGAGACTTAATTCTGATATCTATAAAATGAGGGGGTTGGCATAGATGGCTTCAAAGGTCCTTTCCAGTTCTAGAACAAAGAACCTATGAGATGAAATGATCTCAAAGGCTGTTTAGACCTAATCTGGAAAATGTTCCCTTCTAGAGCATATGCAAGTTGCTGTCACTTAATCTCTGCTTAGAAATCTCCAGTGAGAAGCCTGGGATTCCTATAGTATTTATTTCTTTTCCATTTATGCTGTGACTCTTTGAAATATAACTTTTATCTTCACCACTACATTAAAACTCTTCTTAAATAAATACAAGTAGATAAAGCTTTGGGGGAGGAGAGGTGTCTATTTAGCATTCTCCTGCACCAAACCCTTTTAACCTCCTCTGTGGTGACATGCTGTCTCCAGCCTCCTGGACACTGATCACTTGGTCCTCTGTTTTTGTCTCAATCACCCGTTTTATCACTGACTGACTTCTCATTTCTGGTATTGATGAACTATGAGTTATCCCTAAATCTTCATCAGAGGTTCCCTATACATGTACCCTAAGCTCATTTCCTGTAGATTGTAGACTTCTTGGGCTGAGGCTGTTTCATTTTTTCTTTGTATCTTTGTATTTGTGTATTTGTCCTGGGCAGAGTTATACTGAAAAATCCTTGGGAATAGGGTCAGAATGATGTCTTCTGTTCCTTTTGCACCTTTCAAGATGTTCTACATAAAATAAGCACTCAGGTATTAATACCTGGCCTACTCTAGTAATGCTTTGAAGTAGATATACACTAGAAAAATGTTTTCTAAGTACTTTACTAGTTTGGAATTTGAATTAGAGGCTAATGTGAGTATCATTTTTACTGTGAATTATCTAGTTCTGTTGAATTATTGGTCCATAGTAATCTCTTCCTATATGCAAGGTCAGGAGTTAGATCACAGGCATCCCGACTGCCAAAAATATAAATGTTACCCATTGGTAACATGATTTCCCAGAGCTAGGCTCACATGTGTGGAATACACACAAGGTGTAGAACACCTTAACACATACCAATCCATTCAACACCTTTCTAACTTTTCCACAAATTCCTCATAGTGTCAAACATCATAATTGTACCTGCCCACCTCATAGTAAGCCAGATGTTACCTCGAACCACCAGCCAGACATGCCCTTTCCACAAAATTCAATTTGTCATTAACGATACAGTAACAGTATCAGGAGCCTCTGCAAGAAAGGATAAAGAAAACATCTGACTGAGGGTTTGTCTTCAAGACAGAAAGGCAGATCTGAAATAGTCTTTGTCCAACAGCAGCTTATGTTCTGTCTTTGTCTGTGCCCTTAGAAGGTATGCTAACGGACCTGTCTTGTGTTTACAGTACAGCATTTCGTCTGCCCCTCATCTGTGGCCGCTAAAGGATTCATCAGTTTGTTCCTCTGCCAGTACAGTGCTGATCTGTGGAACATTGGAATCAGCCTCTTCATCCAGGACGGGCCTTTCCTCATTGTCCGCCTCATACTGATGACCTATTTTGGAGTGATCAACCAGATGCTGGTGTTCTTTGCTGCCAAGAACTTCCTCGTTGTGATGTTGCAGCTCTACCGCCTAATTGTGCTGGTGCTAGATGTGCAGGCTTCCTTGAGGAAACAGCCTCAAAGTCTGAAAGGAGAGGAGAGCTTTCCAAGTCAGCCTAGGGAAAGTAGGCTTTCACCCAGCACCAGAGACAGTGAGACCACAGAAGCAGCAACTATTCCTTTAGAAGACTTCCCAGGGACAGCTGAGTGTTGCTGAATTCAAAGATGAAGTCTTCCCAATAGTATGTTACTTCAGCAATCCACCAAGCATTTATTAAATGCTTAATGTGTGCCAGGCACTAGGGAAACAGACTGAAACAAAAGAATCTCTGACCACAAGGAGTTTATAGTCTACTGGAAAGTAAACTTCTGTAAAGTTACTTCTTTTAGTTTCTGAGTCTTTTTATTGCATCAGAATATAAGTCATTTTGACTTGATCTTTTTTTCTCATCTTAGCACAGAACTTTGTTTAAAGATTAAAAGAAAAAGAAGAGATTTTGAAGAATCACCAAGAGATTTTTTTTAGATGACTCTGCTAAACGAAAGCTCTTTGGCTGATTGCTATCATTCTAACTTTCATCTGATGGAATCAGGGAGCACCAGTTCAGAGATTCAAGAGCTCTGGATGCATGAGAACAATATGTAGAGATGTTGTTAGGGGCTTTAGTTGCATGTCCTTGGAAAACGATGAATAGAAAGATGAAATATCAAAAAGGCCGCCTGAAAATACTGAGCCTTGGACTTTGTTTCTATCAACAGACTAAGTCTCCTTTTCCATTTCTACCTATGTCTTTGTGACATAAAAGGTTACATTCAGTGAATGCAGAACAAATCAAAGAAGGAAAAAATGTCATAAAAATTACCTCATTGTGGGCAGGATGCTAGGAAAAGCCCCTGCCCATTCATAGATGCACAGGTCATCCCAGAAAAGAAAAATCTTGCATCTGGGCCTAGAGAGTCATTCACAATGGTTTATAGACTCTCAAGAAATAGTATGATACTTGGATCTAGTTCAGTGGGAGCCCTTTATTTATATGCATGGGCCCATCCTGCTTAATGACATTTCTTGGTTCTACAAAAATGCCATGTCAGGTGAAACAATATTACAGGGGTCAACATCCCATAGCAACAATGTCAAGAACGGCTGTTTGGCCAGAGAGTGCTATGGTGAACTTTCACTGTTTCATGGCATAGTTTGGTTATGAAGTACCAATGATATGGTTGTAAAACAACTTTAGTCAGGTCATCTTACACAGACTGGGTAGTTAGACCAGTTTCAGTGTCAGAAGTACTGGTGCCTACCAGGCAAAGTGGTTGTTTCTGTTTTCTACATTCTTGGAAGTACACAACCACTAAGTTTCCTAATTATAGATTGTAGTTGGCTTACAGCGGTTCACTGAGTCCAGTCTTCTAACTTTACACATTAGGAAAGTGAAGCCCTGAGAGATGACCAGATCACAAATGGAGAGTTCCACAGGGCCTTGAGGGAAGCAGGTGTAGGCCCCACATTTTAGAAATGAGGAAATGGAGGCCAAGAGAAATTAACTGCCCAAATTGTAAACATCAGAGCCTATAAACATCAAAGTCTTCAGACTCACTATGGAGTACTGTGTAGACCTTTTGGCCTAGAGCCTTGCTGAGCCATGAGACACATCAGCATAAGAAGTGCTGATACAAAGAATGTTGAATTTAATAGCTAGCTTTTACATATAATTTTATGTGTTGTCTTATTTGATCCTCACAATGACCTGTGAGGTAGGTGCTCATAAGTGTCCCTCTTTGACAGTTGAGGAAACTGAGGCAAAGGTTTGCCTAACTTGCCCAGGATCACCCAGCTTCTAAGGTGTCTGAGGCAGGATTTGAACTCAGGTCTTCCTGACTCCAAATGCACTGCTCCACCTAGCAGACTAGGGTTTCACATTCTTTTTGAACCCCTAGAGTCTCTCGTGCTACTACCACCAGAAGAGAAAAACATCGAGGTTCCTTCTGAACCACTATTTACAAGTGCCTTTTTCCCTGGGCTGATGGTAGTGGTAGGTGGGGGCAGTTCTCACGCCAGCCAGAAATTTAGGAAAAGTCAGTCAGAACCATATGGAAAGCAGGCCTCATATTCATTTCACTTCTTCCCCCCCAAGAAATGAGCTTTCATTTCTCTGACATAGAAACATCTGCCTGTTTTATTTCATAAACTTGCATGCCTTTCAGCATGGCTGATTTTGGCGTCTTTTCCAATAATTAATGTATATTTTAACATGTTGCGTTCTACCAATGGCAGGAAATCACAAAGAATGCAGATGTTAGTTCAAGTTGAGCATTAACTTCCTAACAATTACGGGTGCCCCAAACCAGCATGAGTTGCCTTATGGGGGTAGTGAATTATTTGCTCCTGGGAGTATTCAAGGAAAGGCTTTCATAGATAGTGAGGGTTCTTGCTTTAGGTTGTGTTCTGTTCTGGTACTGGAGACATAGGACCCGAATTCACAGAATACAAGATGGACAGCTGGACTGGAGGCCAGAGGTCATCTGCATTTGACAGAAACTGGAGCCAAGAGAGGTGAAGGGATTGCCCTAAATCATAATAAAGAGAAGAGCCTGGATTCAAACTCAGGTCATCCTATTCCAAATGTAGCCCCTCCCCCTTCATCACTCTGCCAATTACTTCCTAAGTGACCTTCATCAACTGGTTTCACCTTCATGGGCCTCAGTTTCCTCTTTTGTAAAATGAGAAGTTTGGACAAGATGAATCTTAAGGCCCTTCCAGATTGAAATCTCTGTTCCTATGAATGTGGTAATAACATTTTCAAACCATATTGTGCTTTTAAAAACTTTTGCTAAAAATTTGGGGTAACTTGTACTTTTTTTCCCTTGCCTATATTGTCATAGCATTGAGATGGTTCTTAGAGATAAGCCGTGGGGTAGCCTTGAATTAGTGTGACCCAGGAACAACTGGGCCAGAGGACTTTGTCTTCAAATTTCCCCACAACATGATGTCATGTGGACAGGTTAGAGGAACAGGTTTATGGACATGCTCTGCTCTCAAGAGAAGAAATCTATATCTGATTCACTTAATTCCATCCCCAGTCCTTGTTTGCTCTCAGTCATATGTTTCTCTCTCTGTCTCTGTGTCTCTGTCTCTGTGTCTCTTTCTCTGTCTGTCTCTCCCCTCCCCCCTCTCCTTTCCCCACTTCCTCCTCCTCTTCCTCCTCCTTCTCCTCCTCCTCCTCCTCCTCTTCCTCCTCCTCCTTCTTCTTCTTCTTCTTCTTCTTCTTCTTCTTCTTCTTCTTCTTCTTCTTCTTCTTCTTCTTCTTCTTCTTCTTCTTCTTCTTCTTCTTCTTCCTGTCTCTCTCTCCCTCTCTCTCTCTCTCTTTCTTTCTCTCTCCCCCTCTGCTCTCCCTCTCTGTTTTCTTATTTAAACATAAGGATGTAATTACACATGAAACTAATGGATGCATTTATAATCTTCCATAATAATTTTAAGAGTGGGAATATAATACTTATGTGAATGTAAGGAACCTGTCAACTTCAAAAAGCAAGGCATTTGCAGTGACCAGCTAATCACTGCGAGGCTGAATAGTAGCTCTTTTTCTAAAAAGGCCTATGTGCAATTGGGTTCCACGTTGCATATTTTCCTCCATCTCTTGTAAGCTGGGTGTTATTGCGGATTTGCTCCTGGCATTATTTTCACATTTAAATATTTTCTTCCAGGAAAACAAGCATCGACTCTCCAAAAATAGATTCTCTATGAAAAAGGGTATGACTGGTATAAGCATATTTTCAGATGGATCCCAATTGGAGACCTGGCAGGGCTTTCTGAATGGGTTTTTAGAGCTTAAGTAAGGCATCTATCATCTGCTCTCTTCGGGAGGGTTTATAAGGCCTGCCTGTCTGAACTGCTGGAGGACAGACAGGACAGTGAATGAGATCAAGTGGGTAAAGCATTTTGCAAATTCTAAAAGGACTTCATCAAACTCATTGCTGTCTTTGCCAGTTACTATTACTGATTTTGTTATTGTTGGTGGTGGTTATTTTTATGGTGCCCAGCATCAATCAGGCCATGCACAGTGGTGCAAACCTGGTCCAAGAGGAGCAAGGAGGCTGGGAGGCAGAGTGGATAGGGCACTGGATTTGGAGTCAGAAAGACCTGGTTTCCAATACTGCCTCATTAGCTCTGTGACCCTGGGTGAGTTATTTAACCTCTCAACCTCTGCTTTTTTATCTGCAGAATGAGAATATGATTTTACAGAGTTGTGAGATATGTGCAAAACCTTTTGTAATATCTTAAGGGACTGTATAAACTGCGACTATTAACATTACCAACCTCCCTGAGCTTTGGTTTCATCATCCATTAAAAAAAGAGAGGGAATTGACAATAGCATTGCATCACAGGGTTGTTGTGAAGCTCAAATAAGGTAATTGACATTAAGTGCTTTGTAATCAATTAAACTAAAAGCATTTATTAAGCCCTTAGTAGTGTGCTGTGTTATAGCCTGGGGATTCAGGGAGGAAACTCAAGCAATCCCTACCCTCAAGGGTCTTGGAATTTACTGAAGTAAATAAATTAATCAACCCACAACATTTATTGTCTGTGGTGTTTGCAGAGACACAAAGGAAAAAAAAGCAAAAAAAAAAAACCCAACAGTTGCTTAAAGGATTATATAAATATCTGCTATGATTATTGTCCTGTGGGAAAATCTAAACATGATATACCACTTTTGGATGAGTAGGCTTAAACCTGCATTGGTTATGTTTTTCTTTGGAAATGGAAGTAGGAATAATGGGAAAGGGACAAGCAGCTTCCATTGGACACAAATACTCCAGAAAGGGCTGAGTGGCTCAGTGGACAGTGCTTAGGATTTGGAATTAAGAAGGCCTGAGTTCATATCCTGCCTTGGATACTCACCAGCTGCGTGCCCATGAATAAGTCCCCTCTCTTCCTTAAGCTTCAGTTTCCTCACCCTGCCAAATAGGAACGCCAATAGTTCTCAGCTTATGTGGTAGTGGGTGCAAGATCAGGGGTGAGAATATTTATAAGGCATTTTTTTTTCAAATTTTAAATGTACTAATTTTAAATAAAAGCATTTTTTATTTGGCCAAATTTGAAGTATAATAAAATGCCAGTTATTATTTTGCCCCAAAAGACAACATGAAATTGGTAAATTTGCTTTGTTCTGCCTTCTCATAAATGTATTTCCTTATCAACAGAAAATGACAAGATCTCTAGAGGCAGTGGGATGCAGTGGAGGCAGAGGGGGATGATTCAGGTTAAAGTTTTGTCTCTGAGCTGTGGGGTCATGAGTAAGTCACTCATTCTTGATCATAGGACCATAGATGGAGAATTGGAAGGACCTTAGCCATCTAGCCCAAGCCCTTCATTTTACAG